CGGCAATTCGGAGGCAAAAGAAGGCATCTTTGAGATCTAAGACTGTAAAGTAAGTAGCCCCGCCCGGAATTAAAGCAAGCAGGTTATATGGATTGGGCACGACTGGATGTATACTAACAACCGCATCATTGACTGCTCTCAAGTCCTGCACAGGTCGATACTCATCTGTACCGGGCTTTTGAACAGGCAGCAATGGGGTGTTCCAGGGGGAAGTACAGAATTTTAGGATACCATACCGTATGAACTTATCCAGATAAGATTGGATGTTCTTCTTAGCCTTCTGCGGAATATGATATTGTCTCAGGCTTACTGGATAAACCCCAAGTTTTAGTTCGATTTTAATAGGTGGAATATTGCGGGCCAGTCCTGGTGGGTTGTTCTCTGCCCAAACTCCTGGTATGTTAAATAAGGATTCATCACTCCTCGGGTTTTGGCTAGTCAACACTGTATAAAGTCGCCACTCTTCTTCCTTTGGTACGGACAATGTCATAATACCTGAGGGTCCATTAAACTTTAAGGATGTTGTTCCATTTGGTAGGAACGTAATCTGCGCTTGTAATTTGGATAGCATATCACGTCCCAGCAATTGGACTGGACACTCAGGCATATAAAGGAATTGATGTTTTACTACGTGGCCTCCCAATGTACAGAGTCGACTTTTAAGAACCGGTTTTTCAGCACTTCTTCCAGTTGCTCCTATTACAGTAATAGTTCTTCCAGATGGAGGAGCAACTTGATTAGTCACCACCGAATGTTCAGCACCAGTGTCGATCATAAACGCACTCCTTTTTTCCCCTATTGATACATCGACCATAGGCTCCGCTCGACCAAGGGGGATGGAGCCCGGTCGGTATCAATAGTCCTCCATGACCGTGTCAGCCAATCCCACAAAGTCCCTACCTTCTCTATCGCGGGACCTTTGCGCTGCTGGATAGTACCTATCTTCCCTTACACTTCCTCTGTTCCCATTACTCCCTCTATTACCATTACTCCCTCCGGGGCCTCCTCTACCTCTCGCTCTGCCTCTAAAGTTTCCGTAACCTGCCCTGGGTAAGTCTCTCTCATACTGCTCTCTTTGCGGACACTCGTTCCTCCAATGCCCTTCTTCCTTACAGTACGCGCACTGATTCCTACTCAAAGGCTCCCTATTCCATCTACCATCGCCTCTATCTGGGCCCCGTCTATCTACGCCTGCGATCGCTACCGCTAGCATATCTGCCTTTCTACGCATCTTGCGCTCTTCCTCTTTCTTACTTTCTGTTTCCCTATTCATATATACTTTGTTCGCTACCTCCATTAGTTGGGTGATAGACATACCTGCAAACCCTTCTAATTTCTGTAGCTTGCGCTTAATATCTCCGTAAGCTTGGCTGACAAAGGCGGAGTTTACCATTCGGGAATTATCAGCGTCTTCCGGATTAAAGGGGGTATACAAGCGGTATGCCTCCAATAATCGGTCATAAAAGACACTGGGCGCTTCATCACTTTTCTGAATCACCTCAACTGTCTTCGACATGTTAATAGCTTTCTTCCCTCCGGCTTTCATGCCAGCAATTATAGCATCTCTATAGGCTTTAAGTTGAGCCATATCTGCGCCATTTACATTCCAGTCAGGATCGGTGTTAGGGTAATGTGTTGCGGCCCATGCTGCCGGATTGGCTTGATTTAAAGCACGGGCTCTCTCCTCTAGCGCCTTAATGGCCGCTTGGTTAATCCTTGTCCTTTCCTCATTATTGAACAATGTCATTAATAACTGCTGGCAATCAGCCCATGTCGGGTTATGTGTCTGAACTATCGAGGTGAACAGATCGGTCATAGCTTGTGGTTTCTCAGTGTACGAGGAATTGTGGGTCTTCCAATTCAAGAGATCGGTAGTCGTGAGCGGGACATATACGAAGACTGGGTCAGCATGTGCCATTTGACCTGCGGCATCGATATAGGCTGACCCAGGATTCAGACGAAGAGGCATCTGATAATGTTTTAATTGTTGGGTACCGGTCAGTTGTCGGGTTAGTATGGGGCTACGTGGAGGGGCGTCAGTTAAAGGTTCCGGTCGAGAGGTAATAGGGCATGAGGATGTGGGAACTTGATTTTGGGAAAAGTTAGTGAATAGTATACTCCGAGCCGAGCTAGAAGAAGCTTGACCGGAAGTTTGAAGTGGCGCCAAATCAGGATATTCAGATCTAATGGGGGTTGGTCCTGGTTCCGGAAGGGGAGTTTTAATACGAGGGGGGGTGGATTCTGTACTGGAGGAGGAAGCGGAAGTGGATGGGGGCAATAGGGGAAGGGGTGCAGAGCTTCCTGCATTCGCGTCACTTCCTCTTAAAGGAAAGTAAGGAGGCGGCAAAGGGATCTCGGACTCAGGGGGCGTGTCCAAAATGGGCCTAACACCAGTCCTAGTGGACAAACAAGTCCTGGCCACCATGAGGCGACATTGCTCCTCGTGGCATATCCGGATCCATTTTGGCGAGTCGTTTACGGCCTGCCCCAACAATCAATGTATGGAAACTGTCCGTAAAGTTCAGGCCTACCTGATACAGCCACGTGTACACGCTGTACCAGGGTTGGATCCAAACTGCCACGCGGCGGCCATGCCGCAACCAAAATAGGCCACTCCCTAGTGCACAAAGTGACCAAACGTACAGGAGACATTTTAACCCCAAAATCACATGTTTTGAATCCCTTTTTAAAATTCTTTACCATACAACCTAAGGGATCCGAAATCGTTGACTCTGACGCGCCCATACTTATCAATGGAACGTCGTTGACAACGAATACTATGCACGCGTTCTTATTCAACAGTCACACCCGTTTCCTCTGGCAACAGCACCACGTGGTACAGTTACCGAGTGAAACGTACACAATAACACAATAATCACTCAGGGAATTCCCGTACACACACAGCTGTTACACCAGTCACTAAATAATCAATATTATGCCCTTTGGCGAAACTATACAGTCACCCACGCTATAATTCTCTATATATGAATTACCCGTCTATAACACACCCCAGTAACATCGTCTTTTACTAGTATCGGTTACAGTACGGTTAGCATAGGTCAAAGCACAATTTAAGGTCACAATACAATTATTAGTGGTTACGGTGTTAAACATGCAATAGACGACAATGATTAGTACTTATATACAGTGTCAGTAAATATACAGGGTTATGGTACCGTGCACTATGATACAGCAACACACTATTAACACTCTCGCTAGACGGCTGAGCTCGCGCTATCTAACAAGATATACACTTTACTAACAATCTTTAACACATTTACAATCCCAACTAAACTATTGGCCAGTACCTTGAATGGACTACCTAAAACTATATACACCCGTTTTGGTTAGCCACACTGCCCAAACACCACATATAGCGAACTAGAGGGCGAAATTTACAAAATTGCCCTTCTAGTCTATTTACTCTATCAAAAGTCTAGTGGGTTCCAAATTTACACGCCTTCCCACTTAGCCAAGATAGGTTGAGAGCTAGCGAACCGAATTTACACAGGCGCCGCTTAGTCTCCCGGTCCCTCCGACCTAGCGAACGTAATATACACCCTAGAACGCTAGTCTAGACAAGACACCGGTGTCCGGCTAGGGCTATTTACACAGGACCCCGCCTGACTAACCAGATCAAACGGTCTTACTAAAGAGCGTTCGATCGAGCGGTGCGCCTTCGCTCCTTCCCTCCGACAGAGGGGGCAGATTCCATACACAGATTTAAACCCCTTTTGGGCCTACCGCACAATCGGTATACCCCTAGTGGGTCTGCCGTCTAAAACAGCAGTTGTCTTACCTCCTCGTTCCTGAACCTGAGTTCACACTCATCGACGGGGACACCCCAGCACTTCTTACGTAGAGGCCGATGATCTCCTGGACAACAGACCAGTGGCGCCGAGACGAAGGGAGGTCCACGCAGAAGTTCAGGGGTGCAGCCGTAGAGAACGTGGGCAAAGATAGACCGTCTCACGCCTCTGCCTCTCAGCTACCGTTGAACGATGAGCTTCCCGGCCAATGCACCAAATGATACCGGAGAAACTGACGGAAGCAAAGCACAGAGGGATGGACACAGGTTTCTTCAGGAAGGAAGAGATTCTTTATTGGATCACCGATCGGGACTCAGAGGGACTAATGTCACCAAAAATACAGCAAGTTCTGAGCCCTGAACAATAGTGCAGGCTCCCTATATAGGCACATAACTCCTCCCATATTAAGCTCCACCCGCACATTCTCTTGACCAATCATTACAAATAAGAATTAACTTCCTGCTTGACCGCATGGCTTGTCCAGCACAATGGAGGAGGGAATACTACATCCTGTATTCTTGCACATGCTCCGTACACTACTGATCGTATCTTGCCTCGTGCAACCAACTGATCGATACGTCAGCATATGCACGTACACATGCCACGTGGTAATCTCGGCCTACTAAATTTATTTTTACAGAGATTCCACCACAATATGGTCTCAAAGGCAACACAGGCCCAGCAAACCAATCTGGCAAATGTAATTGTGCAAAATACTGAAATGGGAAAGCTTTTTATTTGACAATGTAACTTTCCAAAACGTGTTAAAACCTGTTCATGAGGGCCATTGTTGTACCAGTGGGAATGGAAGTAAGATTTGTTTTTGTTTTTGTTTTTTTGGTTTTTTTTTTCTCCCCCACAATTTATTTAATTTAGTTTTCTTTATTTTTCATCCACGTGCAAAGTATCTTCAACTTTGTCGATAAAGTTTCTGCAGTTAATGTTTGTGATAACCTTTGATTCTGATCTACATATTCTAAAACTTTAATTATTAAAACTTTGAATATCTATACAGTGCCATATAGTGGTTAAAGTAATCACTGTTCCAGGATGATGTATTTATCTCAAATCTAAAACATATGGTATCTATAAAATTTAATGGTTTAAAATGTTTATTTTTTTTTATTTAAAAATTTATTGAGTTTTAAATGTATACAAATGACAACTTTCTTTTTTGTTTTCTACCCACAGATGATGAAATTTTCCTGGGATAATTACAAGCGATATGCATGGGGATTAAATGAACTGAAACCTGTGCAGAAACAAGGGCATTCCAGTAACTTGTTTGGTGAGTAATGTGAAACTACTGATGTGCTTTTATTGGTTTGTTAACTCCTGTGTTTTTGTCGAGCACCACTTACAAAATTTCCATTTTCCACTGGAGAGTAGAAATTTACCCCTGGTGAGTGTGTCATGGGCCCTACAGGTGGGCAATAGCAAGTCTATTGTATGTGTGTGTGTGTGTATGTATATATGTATCTCTATCTCTATGAAGCCCGATTCACTTAATCCTTAGTTGTGTACATTTATGTATTTTATTTTGGTTTATCTCCTTTCAGTTTGTTTAGCTTCATTGAACCAATCACTTAATTTTTTATCTTTCCACCAGAGTAGTTTATCTATTCTATCTATAAAACTGGGGTTCATTTTAATGCGTTAGAAGTATTATACTGAAATAATATAACTCGTATTTACACAATCTTCTGTTTTCTTTCAAATACCACAGACCTGTTGGTGTGTCCCTTTAAGGCACAGTGTAACTTGACATCATTGTGCACCACTGCACTTTGAGCCATACAGATTTAACCCCTGAACGCCGTAACGGCTTAAGCCCCCAGGGAATCGCAGCTAATTACCTCCGCTGCGATCCTCTTCTGGAGGGCTGCCTGACCGCCCAGGCAGCCCTCCTCCGGCAAGTAAGGCCCCTGTGGATCTGCCAGCAGGGGGGCTGTCTGAAATAGCACAGTCCCCCTGCTGGTGGGAAATGAAATAAAATTAAAAATAAACATGTGTAAAATTTTTTTATATATATCAAAGATTACATTAGTATGGGGGTTAGTATACACGTAGAATTTAAATACCTATAAATACATATATATTAAAATTCTATGTGTATATTTAAGTAATCTTTTAACATAATTATGTGATTTAATAAAAATTTGATTGACATGCCTGACAACACAGGGAGAAAGTGCAGAGAATTTAATTCGCAAGCACTATATTTGACCCTGTAACTTTCCAAGACACCACAAAACCAGTATATAGGGGGTACTGTTTTACTCGGGAGACTTCGCTGAACTCAAATATTAGTGTTTCAAACTGGTAAATTGTATTACAACTATGATATTTTAAGTAAAAGTGACGTTTTTTGCATTTTTTACAAACAAACGGCACTTGTATGGACTGTATTATTGTTGTAATATGTTTTACTGTTTTAAAACACTAATATTTGTGTTTAGTGAAGTCTCCCGAGAATAACAATAACCCCCATGTACAGGTTTTATTGTGTTTTGGAAAGTTAGAGAATCACATATAAGGCTTGCATTTCATTTTTTTGACATTGAAATTTGCCAGATTGGTTTTGTTGCCTTTGAGAGAGTATGGTAGCCCAGGAATAAGAATTACTCCCATGATGGCATACCATTTGCAAAAAGTAGACAACCCAAGGTATTGCAAATGGGGTATGTCCAGTCATTTTTAGTAGCCACTTAGTCACAAACACTGGCCAAATATTAGTTTTTTGCTTTTTTCACACAAAAACAAATATGAACGCTAACTTTGGCCAGTGTTTGTGACTAACTGGCTACTAAAAAAGACTAAACATACCCCACGTTCAATACCTTGGCTTGTCTACTTTTTCAAATGGTATGTCATTATGGGGGTAATTCTCATTCCTGGGCTACCACACCGTCTCAAAGGTAACATTACTAATCTGGCAAATTTCAATTTGAAAATGGAACGTTCTATATTTGACCGTGTAACTTTCCAAAACACCATAAAACCTGTTAATGGGGGGTACTGTTGTACTCGTGAGACATCGCTGATTACAAATATGTGCATTTTCTTGCAGTAATACCTAACAGTATTATGACATTAACAGCTAAAATGTCAGACGGAAATACAAATTTTTAAAAAAATCTTATTTTCTAAAGATTTTTTTAAATTTTATTCATAATAAAGGATGTTCCACATATGAATAGTTAATGATAAATTAAAGCCCTGTTTCTCCTGAACAAAATGATATATAATAAGTGTGGGTGCACTTAATGTGACAGCGGTGAATTACTGGTGAACAGACAGCGCAAATTCCAGTTTTTGTTTACGTTTTGTTTTGATCAGAACGTGTACTATTGACTCCGTCCTGAAGGGGTTAATGTATGCAAAGTGAGATACCCTGATTTACCAGCATTGTGACAATGGAAAGGTCTTGATTACATAAACAATGCAGATGAGTTTCCTGAAGAGTTGGTGCATTTTAAGCTTTGTTTTTGCTTGGTAATAAAGTGTGTTGAAAGGTCACCACTGCATAAGAAGCATATTAATAATCATACACATTTATCTCAATCTGCTTCTAAAAGTTATTACGTTCATTTTTTTTCAAGTTCAGTCACAGTTTGCAACCTGCTTGATTAATTACTCTGATTTCATGAAAGCATCAATTCATGATTAATTTAGATCGGGCTGAGAAACGTCTACCAGAAGAAGGAAGGTGTTGATGTAAGCAAATTCAGCATTAACCCCTTAAGGACACATGACGGAAATATTCCGTCATGATTCCATGTTATTCCAGAAGTTGTGTCCTTAAGGGGTTAAACTTGAGACACTGGATTCTGAATAGTAAGAGATTATTTTCTTGTAAATCACATCTTGAATTTTATGTTTTGGAAGCAGGAGAATGGGAAAGTCAAAAGATCTAAGGGACTTTGACAGTGATGGCTAGACAACTGGGTCAGAGCATCTGCATTCTGGGAACACCCCACAAGACTTGCTGTTCTGCAGTGTCTAATACCTACCAAAATTGGTGCAAGGAAAGACAACTGAAAAAACGGCATCAGGGTCATGGGCGCCTAAGGCTCATTGATGTATGTGTGGCACAAAGGCTAGCCTGTCTGGTCCAATCACACAGGAGAGCTACTTAAGCTCAAATTGATGAAAAATGTAATGTTGGCAATGATTGAAAGGTGTCCCAACACATAATGCATCAGCTTGCTGGCTGCGTATGGGACAGCGTAGCTGCAGACCGGTCAAAGTGCCCCCTGTTGACCTAAGTCCACAGTCAAAAGTGCCTTCATTGGGGACATGAGCATCCAAACTAAACCATGGAGCAATGGAAGAACGAGGTGTGCATAATTTACCTCAGGAAGAGATGGCTGCAGAAATGAAAAGAAGGCCTGCAGAGGCAGCATTATGCTCTGGAAAATGTTCTGCTTGGAAACATTGGGTGCTGATATTCATATGGATGTTACTTATGACCTACCTAGAGACTGTTGAAGACCGTGATGGCAGTGATCTCTTAATGCACCATGCCACACTGCAAAGATTGTTCAATGATGGTTTGAAGAACATGACAAAGAGTTGAAAGTGTTTCCTTGACCTCCAAATTTCCCTGATCTGAATCTGATTGAGCATCTGTAGGCTGTGCTACTACACTGAATCCGATCTATGGAGGCCCCAACCTTGCAACTTGCAGGACCTAAATAATCTGTTGCTAATGTCTTGGTGATGGATACCATGGGACACATTAAGAGGTCTTTGTGTAGTTCATGCCTCAGCACATCAGAGCTGTTTTTGTCAGCATGAGTAGGAACTATTCAATATTAGGCAGGTGGTTTTAATGTTGTGGCTGGTCAGTGTAATGGTTTCTAAAGTGGCACTGTCATGCCGAACTTACCTTTTTTAATCGATTCCTCTTCTCTCCCTCTATAATTCCGATCCTGCAAGAAGGCGACTTCATGGTAAAACTAGAACTCAGACACATCTGCAGGTCCCGATTGCTGTTTCATCAAGAAAGTTCCTAAGGTTCGCAGTAAAAAGGGGCAGGAAAACTTTCTATCATTACCAGTTCAGGGCTCTACCATTTGGCCTGTCATCTGCCCCGAGAATATTCACCAAGTTATTGGCTCCCATGACAGCTCTTTTGAGGAAGTTAGGAGTCTCCATCATCCCATACCTGGACGACTGACAACAAGACAGCTTCTTCTCAATGACCTATGGATCTCTATCAAGCTACTACAGGATCATGGTTGGGTCCTAAATTTAAAAAAGTTAATTCTTCTTCCAACAAGGGAGATTCCCCTCTTTCATTGCGATATATTACATTGTCCCACCACCCCTGAGCGGCGGGTGAGGCCCCTTAATAACAATGGGTGGGGCCTATTGTCCTATCCCTCACACCTGAGCGGCAGGTGAAAATTGCTCTGACCACCGGAAATGAAACACACTTTGCTCCTCCGCTGGTCATAGCTGGTCAGGCGTAGGAAACCTCCATGAGACAAATAGTCCCTACTTTGTCTTATTTTTTTAAAGAAAACTAGAGCAGACAGGAAGAAATGAAGAACAGATCCTGAGAGAGGGAGAGAAGAGTAATCGATTAAAGAAGGGTAAGTTCGGCATGACAGTGCTGCTTTAAGTGCACCCATACATTTTATATATTGCTTTTAAAGAACCAAAATAATAGTTTATAAGAAAATAAAGGGAAGCCAAAACAACGTTAAAGGACAACGGTCATCAAATATTCACTTGCGTATCCGCCCTAACACTAACCCACCCTCACTTTTGAGGCTGCACATCTGTCAGTCTGGGGGTCAATAAATGTGAGTATTGACTGCTATGTAGGAATTTAACCCTGCTTACACCAGAACGTTAGGAAGCTCTATGGCACGTTAAAGGGACACTATAGTCACCAGAACAACTAAAGCTTATTTTATTTGTTCTGGTGAGTAGAATCATTCCCTTCAAGATTTTTGCAGTAAACACACTTTTCAGAGAAAATGCAGTGTTTACATTACAGCCTAGGGGTACTTCCACTGTCCACTCCTCAGATGGATACTATACTATAGGTGCTTTCTGGGGCAGTACTGCACAGGGTTTGGCACTGCCATTCCGTGTCTCCACCCTCTGACACTGAACCTTTCTCATAGAGATGCATCTCTATGAGGAGATGCTGATTGGCCAAGGCTGTGTTCGGCTTGTGCTGACTCTGCCCTTTGACAGTCTCAGCCAATCCAATGCTTTCCTATGGTAAAGCATTGTAATTGACTTTAATGAACACTTCTGATGTCAGTCGAGCAGGCAAATGAGGGGCAAAGCCAGCAGCTGCAGACTGGAATCCATGTAAGATTTTACTATATTTAGGGGGGGTACATGAGGGAGGGGAGGGGGATGCAGGGGTGCTAGATTGTGTATTTAACACTATAGGGTCAGGAATACATTTTTGTGTTCCTGTCCTTATAGTGTTCCTTTTAAGAGCGTAATCTTAACTTGCGGATGGCCTTGGTCTACACCATTTTTTTGTTTTGTAATGATTGAAACCCTAATAGGGTTAACATACACCATGTTCTGGTCATGCTGGGGGTGCAAATTTACCGTGTATAAATCCTATTAAACTAATTAAGGCAGTGCCTTTGGACTTTTTTCTTGTCTGAACTAATTTTTATGCTGCTTGATTGTACTTATTATCTAGGTTGTGGATCAGCATATTTCATATGCAGCCATCACCGTAAAGTATAAAATGTATAGTTATTAAAATAAACAAAGTTATGGTGTACCTTGCAACCTCAGGCCTAAATGATGTACTTAGTAAATTGGTAACCCAGTTTTGTGTGTGTGTTGTGTTTTTTTTTTTTTTTGTGCTAAACTTTTCAGTGTAAGAGTATATGTATTGTGCTAGGCATGGCACTAAATAGCCCTAAATATGCTATAGGCGGTTTTCTGTGACCTGATGGAAATTTTATGTCAGTCCAAATAATTGTACCCACAAAACTAGCATGGGCATTCAGCTTGTTTGTGTTTTTTTTTTAATGTATTTATTTTTTTTTTAATCCCGACTTAAGGGTAAATTATTGTTCCTTATCCCTTAGCAAAGTGTGGTAAAAGCATGTTAAAGTAGAATGAAGTATATAAAATGTATATAGACTGTCCAGAGACATCCATTCTGTATATATTCACTTTGCTAAATGAATAGTCTATAGTGTTTGTATTGGGTTTTATTTAAAGTCACGGTACATTCTGATATTTCTAAAATGTTACCTTTTCTTTCTGTGCTTTCAGCATGTGACTTCATGCATACTTGATGTAATGCCTTAGTCTTTCTAACCTACTATTTAAACAGCAAGGCTGCTTTCTCTTTGGAGATCAGCAACCCTAAATAGGAATTGTGACATTTGTGTTTAAGCACATGTTAGTTTAATGCTGACAAAGTTGTTTTGATGGAAAGAAAAAAAAGCCGCCTCTTAACACATGCCTTTTTCATGCATATCTGCATTAAACTATTATTCTTATGTCTGCAGTGTGACATGTTACGCAAAACTGCACCTACTAGTGTACACATGGGTATTTATTCTTGCTTTTTCACAAGGGATGTTGTTTTTGTGGTTGACATTTTAGGATTTTTATTTTTTTTGTTTGTTTCCTCCTTAGATCTAGATCTTTAATTGTCCCAGCTAGAATTTATTGTCCCCTCTCAACAAGTCAACCTTGATAGGTTCATTTACCAAGCTGGAGATTGTTAGATCTTGAAATACAAATTTAAAAAAAAAAGTACTCAGCAGTTTAAACTACCGCTTTTTGAAACCAACACTTCTTTTTTAATTGAAAATGCAAATGTTTTATTTAAATGGGCACCAGAAAATACACACTGAAAACAATTTCTCATTTATGCCAGCCTGCCAGTGTTTAAGACTTTCATTGTTTTCTGAAAACAGGACTTATTGTAGCAACTATGCCGAGCACATATTGTGAAGGTTTTATCAGTGATAACAATGAAAAACAATGAAATCTAATTTCCAATAGGGTCTGATTATGTTTTTCTCTGGTTAGAATATGATTTGCATCCATTTAACACATTCTCCCCTCCCTTGTGTCTACCCTGTACTATGCTTTAACTGTGATTCAACAGCATATTATTTTCTACAGAACAAAGTGTGTTACCATCAACATAACATTAACCAAGGTTAACGCTTGTTAAATGAGCTAATGAAGCATAGCTAATGTGGGCATGGCTTTCTGTGTGGCTATATTGGCATCCTAATGTCTGTGCTAGCTGGGCTTCTTTTGGGGAAAGTCGTACAAGGAGATTGCATAATATCCATCGTAAATGATGAATACTTACGTTGTATAATTAATCAATTTGTCTTTCGATGCTGTTGCCAGTTATTGATCTTTTACATTGTGTAGAAAGTGATTTGCAGAAAAATGCATGCTCCCCTATTGGTTTCACGTACATAGTGTACATCTTGCAGCCCTGCTTACTGTGTTCCATTCATGAAAAAGTTTACTTGGCATTTATTTCTAACGCATACTCTCTATTACATAAAAACATGCTGTATGCCCTACTATGTGGAGGGGGAAATGAGAAGGGCTAACTAAATCCTACACAATACATACAGGGTTAACCTAATGTGTATATACAAACGTAAAACCACATATCTTTAAATGGAGACACACTTCCAAGGATTTTTAATATTATGTTTACTTCTATCTATATTTAACAAATATGAATTTGTAAGGTTTGAAAAATAAAATGTCTACACATCTTTATTCTGCAACTGGACACATCCATTTGTAGCTTTGTCCTTTGCACCTAGCAGTCAGCATAGGGAAAGCATATAGAGAAGAGCAGACAATACAATAGTTCTCTCTCTTCCTCATGTAATATGTTTGCCAGAACGTTATTGTATCTGAACTTGCTTATGATGTAACTTTCTAAATCTTAATTTGAAAACTTAAAAAAACAAAAAACAAACCTACAACTTTAAATTAAAATAAGGCTAAAGGAACACTATAGGGTCAGGAACAAAAACATGTATTCCTGACACTATAGTGTTAACACAATTTAGGTTCCTGGCCCACCATGTCCCCCTAAAAAGCTGTGAAACTTGGGTATTCCAGGGCTGCATGGGTCTGCCGGCACAGGTTCTGCCCCGATCCACTTCCATGAGTTAATCAGAATTGGCAATCTCAGCCAATCCAATGCTTTCAGATGGGAGCCAAACGCGCTGGCCATTCAGCATCCCCTCATAAGCTGTATTTGCTCTGGTGACTATAGTGTTTTATAGTGTTGTGTTATAGGTGATTTTCAGTGTTTTATTTAGTGGCTGCAAAATCGCAGAAAACTGACAGTTTCTTAATAGCAATGTTGGGGATTTGTTTTGTGGTTGTCTTATTATACAGTCAAATCACACTTTGCCCGCCACGCCATAAAGAATGTTTTCCTGTGTTCATTTAATTGGCAGTATCTCGAATGAACTGGTTAGCATAAATATTCTTTACCGTTAATTAATTGCTCTGCCATCTTATTGGAAGCTCATATGGTCTTGTAGTTTCAGAGGAATTGAGAAAATGTATCATGATCATACATTCCTTGCAATGATGAACACACAAAAAAATATCACAAGGCAGAATTAGTTTTTTCTTTTGTCACACCATTTGGGAAGAGGACAGTACCCAGAAACTCCTTGCAGCATAACAATTGAAATGACAGGTAGTTGTTGAATGAGCAAAAATTTATCCTCTTTTAATGGGCATTATTTTGGATGGGAACACACAGGTACACAAATGGATCAGCGCTAATATATCAGTGGGGAGACAGCAACCAGAACAAAGGGGATCCCTCTCATCCTTTGAACAAAAAACAGAACTGTACAAAGATAAATAGGGGCTGCGCCACAGTGAGTAATGTAATATATAGTCAATGACAGGAGGTCCAGAGGTATAAAAGAAAACCTTTAGATTCACACTAGATGGTGTCTTTATGGTATATTCAACGGGAGATGTGAATTCTTAAAGCTTGGGAATGGTATCCTTAATCAGTCTCTCCGATATTTGGTCATATGAAACGGAGAGGAGTAAGGACCTAATAGTGCAATATGTATCGTATAAAGTGGTTATGGTGGAATAATAATAATAATGCACTCACATTTGGCAGAGCTATAGCCAGCTCTAGTGTCTAGCGCTTGTAGTTTTACAATCCCCACTTTGGGATATACTCTAGGTATCCTCAGTCTTTGGGTTAGCTGGAGTGCAAACTACAACAAAAGTAGGGGGGCAACTGTAGTGCTCTCAATAAGATAAAAAAACAGGTGTAAAAAGATATATATATATATATATATATATATATATATATATATATATATATATATATATATATATATATATATATATATATATATATATATATATATTTATACTCACACAACATAGAGCAGGCTGACTGCTCTGTGATATCTGCTCTGGTGGTATGATCCCCAACTCAGATTTCTTTAGAGTGCTGGTTAAAAAGCCAGGTAGCAAAAAATATATATGTATATATATTTTTTTGCTTTTGAATAATTTAAAGGAAATTGGCACAAACCTATGTATATTTGTCCAAAATAATTCCTTTATTTAAATACAAAATAAAACATCCAATAATGCATTTCTCATTTGTGGCTTTTTCAAATGGAGTTTGAAAAAGCCAATTCTGATTTTTCCCATTTTTGGATTGCCAGAGTTGGGAGGTATACTGATACAAGTTCATGTGTATTTCTGCTTATGGTAGAAAGATTGTTATAAGGATCCAAGGAGACATCTGACTGCTATTTTGGGATCAAGAAGGAATTTTTTTTCCCCTAGTTTGTGGCAAAATTGGAAGCGCTTCAGACTAGGTTTTTTTGCCTTCTTTTGGATCAACCGCAACAACATATGTGAGGAAGGCTGAACTTGGTGGACGCAAGTCTCTTTTCAGCTATGTAACTATGTAATGTAGTCCATGATTTTTGGATTTCCTACTCTTGTGCTATGTTATAGGGTTTTTTTTTTTGGTTTTTTTTATCCTTGCATAGCAGTATACTTTGTACAAACAAAATATTTGGCATGCAGTGCATAAGAGTGGAGGCATGTCTCTGCTGATAATGCTGCACGGTCTTCATTTATGACAAATTGTAAAGACACAAGAGCTAGACTTGCAATTGATTTTAATTCTGCTCTGAGATGCTTTACCTGCATACTGAGTGAGTACCGTACATCCTAATTGAACCAACCGTCTGAAACCTATATCATCAAGTTTCATGTCTTCATTTTTATTTTATTTTTTTTAATTTTTTATTATATATATATATATTTTTTTTTGTATCCTTTACTTTATCCATTTTCAACAGATCACACTGTTTGCTAAATCTATCAGTTCCAAATACCTCCCCTCTTACCATCCTTGGACTTTGTTTATGAATGCTACACAGAGCACTTTGGACCTTGTTTGTGCAATAAAACGTGGAACAACTTATCTGCCCGAAAGAAAGCAAATAATCCTCTCATTTGATTCCAGGATTTAATGCTTTTTTTCTGGTGGTGTGTTGTCTTTTACGGCTTCAAATGCTGGCAACTATAATTTTCAGTATTTTAGTTAAAACTCCTTAGTGCCCTTCTTATTTGATCTTAGAAGTATATCTGTATGATGTGTGCATATATAAAGTATTTACTGTACAGCACAAACTTGTTAGGACACTTAAAGAATTATAGTTGTTTGGGCACTGGAGTGAGTGCCTTAGAATATTTGCACCTAGTGGTACTATCTTATTTATGTTGTCTCTCTATACAGTGTTGTTGTTATAGGACACTGAAAGAATATCATTGATCTAAAAAGCAAATGTGTGCAGAAAATAAAATCAAAGATCAAAGTAAACCCAAACAATTTGACAAAAAAGTAAATTTAAAAAGGCTTTTTACAACGAATGTGTGCTTTGTATGGCTTTCCTTAGCATACAAGACTAATAAGGCATTGCTGTATTTCTGCAACCCGTCCACCAAAAAAAGTATTTTAAGAAGCTAAAATCTTTGAGATATTCACATTAACTATACTGGAATTTCAGTGATATTTAAACCCACTCATACTAAGATAAAGTTGGGTCTTCTTTGTCTAAGTATTTTTCCAATGTTTTACAAAATACTTTTCTGATTTGTAATTCCCTAACCATTACTAGTTGCAGCTGAGGGGGGAAAAAGGGCTCTGTTTAAGGAGGAATTTGCGGAATCCTCCATATACCTCATTATTGTACACTCACACATGTTTCTGGCAGGAAGAAGTTGGCGGCCACGAGGAACAGGATCAGGTAAGTAGAACTTACCTTCCCCTGCATCCCTCAAACGTATTGCCAGCAGAGCACGCCTGATTGAGGGTCTTTGCAAATTAAGACCCCTGATCATGACAGAGCCACTAAGTTCAAATGAGTTGAAAGATCCCAGTGACAAAAGGGAACTCGAAACATGGCCTTGTGTTATGTTTAAATAGACAATGATGCAAATAGTTTAGAAGTTGCAGTGAAGATATGTACACCAATATTTATTTTATGTGTGTTAATAGAATTCATTAAACATTGGAAAAACAAATAAAAACAGAACAGATTAAAAACAATCTTTTTTTTTTTTTAAATTATTTATTTTTATTTGTTTAATTTTTTCAGTGCAAATGGTTGGAACATGTTATTAAGATAACAGTCATATTAACAGGCACTTAACAGGTCCAATCATGGTTACGACATATAATAACATTGCACAGTTATGAGTGGGCTACGCAGTTGTAAGGATTCATCATGTGTTAGGAACTTCTAAATTTAGGTCGCTCCTTGTTATACTATGCATACATTTCTCGTTAGAGTTAGGGGAGGTGTCTGGCATCAAACATTAAGCCAGGCGTCCCCAAACTCCAGCCCTCCAGATGTTGCTGAACTACAACTCCCATGATTCTCAGCCTATCGATTTCATTCCTAGAATCATGGGAGTTGTATTTCAGCAACATCTGGAGTTTGGGGAAGCCTGCATTAAGCGATAAGTGTGGTGTCTTAGTCGCTTGTGCCTAAAGAAATCGCTTGGACTATCACGCATTGGAAAGTTTAGTGAAATGTGACCGCAGTCTGAATGAATAATTATGGAATAGGCTAGGGAAAAGCTATCGTGTATCGTGAGAATAGTTACTTGGGACCGCTCTTTGTGGAGGGAGCAAGTAGTGTGAGGCTTTATCCAGTATGTTAAGGGTGCTCAGTGTAAATGCTTCCCTGAGGGTATTACCCCTTTACCATGGGGAGGATATATCATCTGAGTGGTGAATGATCTCCGAAACCGGACGGGTTTGTGTTCTCCATGCTGGAGGCAAAAAAAGCCCTGGTAGGTGTGGCAGAAACTATAAAACATAGAGCGATATAGGTTTGCTGGTCTTGAGTTCAGGCCTTATGGAGCTTCTCTGGAGGTGGGAACTTAATGAGTTCGGTTTGGTGTTGATACGATTAGAGAGTCCCAAGGTTGCTAGCAGGGCAGGTCCCTCCATGGGGTCAGAGATTTTGTATGTTTCACCGGCTTTGGTGGACCATCTGTAGGTTAGTCCCGCCGTCTGGAGGTGGTTGGTAATAGGCTGCATGCTTTTTTGCCAAAGTAGTGTGGCTCTGCTTAAGTCCTGTAAAAATGCGATTTGGCTCGATTCAGAATCATAATGCATGTGTCTTTTAGGTACTGCCATTAAGACCAGCTTATCAGATAGGGTTTGATATCTTAGGATAATGTTCTGTGGTGCTGCTTTTGGGGCTCGTGGCGATTTGGCGATTCTGTATACGCAATCAAATGTTAAATGTGTGGCTTATTTTGTGGGTAGTAGTGAAGTCACTAGGCGCCTGATAAAGTCATGGAGTTCTTCCAGGGGCACAGACTCTGATACCCCCTGATTTTTACATTTTCCCTCCTACCTCTGTCATCCAGCAGGGTGACTTGCCGGCTGAGGTTATGTGAGACTTGCAGTTGGCGCACCATGTTGTTTAGAGAATCCATGCCTTGTTTTGGGCCCTGTATATCCTCTTCTGTGGCTTGGGTGCGGGTGTCTCCGGTTTAGTTGTAGCCCAGTCAGCATGTCCTGTTTAGTGGCAGGGATAGAGCCTCCAGTAGCCTGTGTGGTCTCCCTGTCTTTTGTACTGGTAGCCAGGCTCTGTGTGGAATCCCCGTCGATGGACTGCGTGGGGGAGGCTGGTGAAAATGGCAACTGCTCTGGTTTGCTGCTAAGCTCTGTCCCCCCTTTTCTTTATGTTTTAACAACCATTTACATACATTTATGCAATTGCCATTTTTGATAAATTGCAATATTTACATTGCAGGGTTAACTCTACCAGACGGCCACCAGAGGGACTTTTGGTCACTTAACTGATGCTGGACGTCCTCACACTTTGCATTAGGACATCCAGCGTCTCCTAAAACCCCATAGGAAAGCTAGCAATATAGCGAGCTAGCTCTCTAAAGTTTTCCTTTAAAGCGGCACTTTCATGCCGAACTTTCTTTAATCGATTACTCTTCTCTCCCTCTCTCAGGATCTGTTCTTCATTTCTTCCTGTCTGCTCTAGTTTTCTTTAAAACATATGACAAAAGTAGAGACTACTATTATCCCCTCTCCCGAGACCCCACTCAGACCGCGCAAGTGGGGGCTATTAAACTGAAGGGGGGACCTAGCACCCCACCCCTGAGTGGTGGGTGGGGGCCCTAAATGAGAAAGTCGTCGTCCTCCCGGTCCCCACCTCTTAGCGGAGGGTGGGGGCCCTAAATAATGAGGGGGGAGACCTATTGTCCTCCCAACCCCCTCCCCCCCCCCCATGAGCAGCGGGTGTGGGCCCTAAATAACAGTAAAGGGGGGACCGATTGTCCCTCCCCCAGACCCCACCCCTGAGTGATGGGTAGGGGCCCTAAATTAAATTGTTACTGCCCCCCAAGTTGACTAAGGGGCCCCTAGTCACTCTCCCACCCCCTCACCCTAAAAATAGTGAGGGGGGAATAAAAGAGGTGTGTGTGTGTGTGTGTGTGTGTGTTAAAAAAAAATTATATTTGTCGTTTTTTTTTTTCTACATTTGTCAGCCCCAAAAAAGGCCAAATAAAAATGTATAATACCGTCGAACCTGAGCGCAAAAAAAAACAGACGAAAAAAAATAACCTGACACTAACAAATTAATCCATCTTCACCCATGGAGGGCACGCTGAAGACTGAGCTCCGCAGGGTGGGGAAAGCCTTATAAAGCCTTCCCATGCCCTGCAATTAGGCTCAGAGCGCTCTAATTGGTTGGTTTAAGCCAACCAATCAGAGTGCTCTGACAGGTAAGTGCCTGTCACAGCACTCTGATTGGTTGGCTTGAAATCCAACCAGACTGCTCTGTGTCATTTTAAACAGCGTGGGAAAATTTAGCTTTCCCATGCTGTGTAAAATGACACAGAGCACTCTGGTTGCTTTCAAATTGAAATCTAACCCGAGTGATGTCATAGGTCCCATTTCTTCTCCCCCGTGTCCACATTCTCATTTAGGGCCCCACCTGCCGCTCAGGGGTGGGGGCCGGGGGGGGGGGGGTGGACAATAAGTGTGTGTGTGTGTGTGTGTGTGTCCGTCCCACATTCTCATTTATGGCCCCCACCTGCCACTCAGTTTAAAAGCCCCCACACACGTAGCACGGGTTGGGACTTTGGAGGGGGCACACTAGGAGTTGACAGAGCACTCGGGTTGGATTTCAAATTGAAAGCAACCAGAGTGCTTTGTGCCTCAGGCTGCTCACTGTTTAGTAGAGATGCCCCTACTCAGGATATAGCGAGAAGGGGCAGAATTTACGAATACTAAGTCATCTATACTTAGTATTAGTAAACTTGGCTGAACGTTTTAGTATCAGCCTTTTGGTAGATAGCTCCCTGATACTGTGGGAATTGGGGAGTTATCTACTAAGCGGCTGTAAGATGCAGGCACGGCACAAATAGGATCGGAGTTTCATTCATTCGAATGAAATTCCAATACGAACAAAGTCCCGAATTGGGTCCTAACACGAGTGGAGAAACTGACAGGACGTTTGGGAAAACTGAAAGGAGGCTTCGGAGGAACACGGAGGAAAGGTGAGAATTATGGGAATAAATAAAAAATTACATTTGCTATCCACGGATTTCGGTCTTGTCTGTTTACTGTATTCTAATTATGAAGTAAATTCTGTCTTTCGAACCTAGTTAACATTTTTTAAAGATGTTCTTTCAGTCCTGACAGTAATTGACAGACGTCTTTAATTGCTGCCTTCTGTTACGCGCAGTTCATCAGTAGACGTGTCCAGCAGTTTTTATTATGTGCCAGTCATTCTTAATTTTAAACAGTGTATATGGCAGCATTTTCTCATGTAGAAGTAATTGTCAACAGGGTTTTAACTTGTTTTCTGTGTTGTGCGCAAACCATAGGACTGCTGTCTGCAATGGATGCCTTCCAATAAACTAATATTATTACTGCCGTCAAGAAAAATCAGTACGGGGTAATAATGTAGAACAAATGCTTCAAGCATGCTGTCAAAAATGTGATGGAGTGCATTAAGAGAGAGGCGAACAGCCAATAAAACAAACGAGTAAAAAAGGAAGACGAAAACTCTTGCTGCTCTCTTTAGAGGAATCATTGTTTGGTCTCCACCGATCCCTAGCATTGTAGCATAGAAAATTATAGTAAAAGAAACCTCGTAATTCTTGCTTTGGGGCAGTGTTGGTCTCATTGGTGAATTAACTCGGGCGAGCCCCTACTGAACAGTTTTAAAATGAGATTGGAATCACACGACGTAGCTGTGTGAGCTTGTATAATTCATTGAATATACTTTCAGCAGGTGTACGTTTCACTACTTTCAAAACAGGATGTAGTGCGTGTGATGTGGGTTCCCCCTCCCTTCCCTTCCCCTCTCCATTTTATTTTGTTATGGCAAATAAAAAATGGAATTGTAGGAAGACTTTGTAGATTTTTATTTATGTATTTTTTTCATCAGAATAAGATATTTGCTTTGTTCTTTTTATTACCTGCGATCTGCTTCTGTGCTACTGCTGTTATTTGGCCATTGAAGCAGTACAGAAGGTGCAAAGTTGCTGACACAGTGTGCACTTAAAACAAATTTGACATTTGGGGACAATCCTAGTGTTTTTATGCTACAACCTCAGACATTTTAAACAATTCTGTGCAATGCCAGGAGGGGAGGGTTATAGTAACCTTTAAAAAAAATAAACCCTGTAAGCTATTCTCATACACCTGCCTAGTGATCTTCCATTGATGTTGTATGGTAGAAAACTAATTGACTAAATCTACTAGATCCACCCTTCAGCTACTACCGTGTTCCTCGCAAGTGGGTGGTAACTCTGATATAAACATTGTAGGCCAAAGTAGTTGTCATTTAGTATTGCATTTTATTTATTTTGCTTATTATCTATGCATAAATTAAAGGTTTTGTTTTTTTTTGTTTGTTTTTTTTTTTAGAAGTCTCATTGATGGAAATACTATGGTTTTTCAGCAACTGCAGTAGGTTAATTCAAGACCAGGAATGGGCATAGACTATTAAACTCCCAGTATTTTCTAGTGGAATTGGGTATATAGTAAACTCTTTCCTGTTCAGCACTTGGAAACCATTATATTCATCATATATTGTGTATGGTTAGTATTGCACGTACCATATAAATATCCACTTTTACAGCTACAAAAAAAGGAGTGTTTTGTAAAATGGAGCCTGAGCTATCTGTTTAAATAAAGGTTTTTGTTTTTTTATTTTCACTGTACAACTGTGTGTGAGCTTGAAGGAATTTCCTTACTACAGGATAAATGAATGCCATGCATAACTATCAAGGGAAACTATGCGGTTACTGTCTTCTGAGTACTCAAGGTTAAGTGAAATCTATATGGTATTAAAGAGAATATTGGATAATGTTAATCAATCCGTCAGGACACTTGTTAATATTATTGATTTGTCATTGGAAGGGAAATGAAAGTACTTGCATGTTAATCCCCCCCTCAAAGTGCAGCTATGGTTGATTTCAGCACATAAACCAATAACTGCTCAAATGTATCCTGTTCTCTATTTCCTATACAAAATATAGTCCTATAAAGCTATTGTTTTATTATCTTATAATTAGGATAGCCTAATGCCTATCCCACAGGGGGCAGGTTGGGTAAATTTCGGTGGGTAGATAATTACCATCAGTATATAAAAGGTAAAAATAATTGTGAAACTCACTGTGTAGAAGAGATCTTAAAAAGGCAAGTAATCTGTGCTGCTAGAAGATACAATAGTTCTTTGAAAAGACAGTGTTTACATTGACATTTTACACTATACACTTTTGCATTTTATTCAAATACACTTTCTTTTTTGACATTTTATTGGATGTAAACTTACATTTGTATTCCCTTGTTTAGTTTTTTTTAAAATACAATTTCTGTATTCTATTGTATTTTTTTTTTTTTAATTGAATAATGTGTTAATAAAATACATTTGCATAAAGGGTGGAGTAGAAGCCTGAAGGGACATACTATACACACCAGAATAACTACATTCAGCTGATAACTATAGTGTCCCTTTAAATACTGAATTAAAGGATAGCGTCAGCAGTTATGTCTACCGTGTTCCTTTAAGTCACCCTAGGCTGTCAGTGTATAATTGCCATGTGTATTCTGATGGATAATGAGGAAATGAACTTTGTCATTATCTTGGCAGCAGAGTGGAGCAGAGTTTTGTAAATCTGCAGAAATAATTTGGCAGGAACTTGAGGGAATGCACCTCAAAATTCATTGAAGCATACCAAATGCAATATACGGTAGTGGTTATGATTCTTGGAATGTTTTTATGTTAAATAACATTTACTTATTTTTAATGATGGTAAAGTGATATAGTGTAAATTTACATGACTGACCTATGAAAGTATTGTTTGTTCCACAATGAATTAAAAAAACAATCAATTGTTAAAAGGGGAACTGTTGCTACTCTGGAAACCACACGATTGCACAGCATTGAAAACTCCGTTATCTCTGTTAACCCTTTTTTCTTTTCTTTTCTATAAGATTCTCCATGCAGGAACAGCACTCTTTATATTGCTGTTTACATGCCTCTAGTGGCTGTTCCTCTGACAGCCACTGAGTCGCTTCCTCAGAAAAAGCCTAAACTCACTATATCAGTCAAATAGTCACAAATGACCATCTGATTGGCACAGCACTAGCCTCCCAATGTTTTCTTATGGGAATGCATTTAATTGGCTGAGATCATTAAGCTTGATGATCTCAGCCAAGGATGCAGCACAGCATGACCTAAAAGTGGCGGTCACCTGAACAGTGACTAACACTATAGCATTAGGACACATTTGTATTCCGAACGACAATTCTCCTCAACCCTCTTCTCAAGGCACACCTAACAGTCCAGGATTTAGGTATTACCTGCATGTGTCTAAGGTGTTTAAAGAAACAAAACAAAAAAAAAACCTAAAAACATCTTGGAGGCTAAGGTTTTGTCTTCCCTTTTTCTAAACACCTTAGACATTCCCGGGTAATCCTCTAAATCATGGACTGTTAGGCAGTGCTCCTTAACCCACACCTACTCATTAAATATAGGGATACGTAAAAGTCCTAGGAAGTGGCAGTTCCCATTTAAATGTATACACCCAACACCTTTTCATTCTCCAGTTTTCATTGCTCTTTAAGTCTTCTATCCCAATTTAATTTAACTATTGTTCGTTAGCTCAGTCTACAGACTGTAAATAGCACTTTTAATTACCTTTCATCACTCACACAGATTTTTAAATTTTCTTTCAGGCAATATTCAAGGAGCTACAATAGTAGATTCCCTTGACACCCTTTATATCATGGGAATGATGGATGAATTCAAAGATGCAAAGGAGTGGGTGGAGAAAAACCTAGAGTTCAATGTGGTAAGTTTATCTCCTATGTCCTAAATCCCAACATTTCAAACGTACAAAGAGCTATATTTTAAATGGACTTTAATATTAGTGGTGTGAGTGTGACCAGGGGCCGCGCGGTCCTGAGAAATTTTAAATGACTTAATAACAATTCTTTGTGTGTGTGTGTGTGTGTGTGTGTATGTATGTATGTATGTATGTATGTATGTGTATATATATGTATGTATATATATATAATATGTATATGTGTGTGTATGTATATGTGTGTGTGTGTGTGTGTGTGTGTATATATATATATATATGTATGTATGTATATATATGTATATGTGTGTGTGTGTGTGTATATGTATATGTGTATATATATATATATATATATATATATATATATATATATATATATATATATATATATATATATATATATATATATATGTGTGTGTGTGAAATTAAGAACGAACAAAATATCTTATTTACACAGATTGATTTCTAAATGCATTTACTGCATTTTGAAGACTCATGACTGGGATTATTGTTGCTGTGGAGCTCTGTCTCTGTTGTACACTCAGGCACATTAACAATATGGAGCTCTGAAAATAGGGACGTTAGGATAGAAAGCGGGTTTTAGGCCAAATTAGGGACACTTGGGCAGCATGCTCTGTAATTGGGAAATATTTAATAATATGCAGTGGCAATCTGTGTTTACCTTTCTACTTGCTTCAGCAGACAAAAAGTTTAAGTAATGCAATTATCTGCATAATCAGCCATAGACTACAGAGGTTTCAAGTGACACCTGAGCGCTTACAGCAGCTTATCGCTTTACTTGAGTAGCTTAGAGATCTTACTACATCCTGTATTTAAGATGTTTTATTTTTTTTCTGTGTCTGCCATCTATATACATAATCAAATCTCCATTTAGGAACCAGCATTAGTCTAGTTTCGGTGAGCAGACATGCTTGTAGAATATAAACCTAACCTATATAGATTATTTTGTGGCAGTAGTTGGAGTAAGGACAGAGCCAATCTCTACAATTTATACAGTGATTAGGGTACATCGGCAAATAGGGTGGTTTATTTACAGGGCCTTATAGAAACCTGCAATAGCAGCCTGCTATTCTATTTCATGCATTAATACATATGTTTATGAAGACAACTGCATAAACACTGTGTTGTTCTTGCCAGGTACAGACTAGCATAGCTGACTGTGAGAACTTTTCCAGCTAGGCTATTTTGACGTTAAATAAGAGCGTCCGTTTCAATTCACTTTGAATTTTCACATTTCTGAATAGCTGTGGTAGGTGCAAATTTCTTGTAAATGAGAAGAGTATTTAAGAATTTTTGTGTATGTGTACAGTTTTTTTTTTTGTTTGTTTTTGGTATTTTTCTTATTTCTTTGTTGAAGTCCTCACTTAAATGAATGGGTTAAAAAGATAGGGGTGTATATGTATGTATATGCATGTGTGTGTGTATATACAGTGGGACCTCGGTTTACAAACTACTAGGTTAACATAATTTTTGGTTTACAAATGAAAATCCATAGAAAATAATGCCTCGGTTTACTATTTTTTTTCGCAATACAAAGCAAATTTTCCCAGGATGCATTGCACCTGAGGAGGTTTATAGCACCGCCCCTGCATGCTGGAGCTTGTGGGTAGCATGTGGCATTGAGTGTGGAGGTGTTGGAGCGGCTTTTGTATCGAGTTTTGGAGCCATTCTGGAAATTGTTTGCAGTTGTTTTGGGACTTTTTGGTGCTTTTCTTAAGCTGTCTAAAGGTAGGGAGCTGAGCTTCGTCGTTTGCATGCCTTTTATTGTATGTTCTGCATTGTGGGTTGGTTTCCATGCCAGCTCATTTTGACTTTTTCCTGACCTCCAGAACGGATTAACTGGTTTTCAATGCATTCCTATAAGAAACCGTGTTTCTGTTTACAAATTTTTTGCAATAAGAAATGTCCTGGAGATGTATTAAATTCGAAAACCGAGGTCCCACTGTTTTGTATGTATGTGTGTATATGTATGTGTGTGTATATGTATGTGTGTATGTGTCCAGAATCTTTTGGCAACTGCACAGCCCTCTACATTAAGGAAGCCAGGTCAAGACAAAGTCCAGTTTAATAGGCCTATGGTCTGTTTATTTTCTGTTGGTAATAAGTAGCCAGGTACATCAGGATACAACAGGATATACAAAGCAGCAATGCTTACAAATAGTAAAAAACATTCCAACCTTCTTTCTCCTCAAAACACTTTTTTTTTTCCTTCCACCCTGCTTCAAAAACTAGAGCTTAGACAAAAAAAAAATCTGAAGACTTATTTGTTCATCTTGACTGAAAATTGGTAAGTTATGACTATTTAAGACCTTTAAGACCAGAGGGCGTACTATTACACCCTATTTTAGGCGGCTCTAAACGCCGGGCGTAATAGTACGCCCTCCATTTTTTTCTTACTTACCCGGTCGCCGGTGATCCCACGCCGGGGATCGCGGTTGGGGGGACTCCCATGGAGCCCCCCGCGGCAGATCCTCCATCCTGCAGCCCCCCCCGCATGGCCGGGATAGCTGCCTGCTGTATTGCCAGCAGGGGGATGGGTAGTCCCCCTGCTGGCTGGAAATAAAATAAAATTAAGTGTAAAAAATAAAAGTAAATTATATACTTGGGAAAATATATATATATTCAAATTACACGTAGACTTATACTGATTAAATATATATAATTATTGTTATATATATATATAATGTAAATACGTTAAAAATAAAATAAAAAAAAATTAAAAATACAGATGTTATTTCGTTCTAACTGTATTGTGATATTAATATATATTTATATCAAAATACTTAGAACGAAATAATATATATCTATATACATAAATATATACGTATATAACACTATATACCTATATATAAATAAAAATATTTTTTTTAAATTACATAAAATATTTTTACGTAATTAGGTATCTTAATTAATTACAATTAGCGGGACCTGCCTGACAACCCATGCCGAAAGTAAAGGGAATTTAATTTGCTAGCACTATATTTAACCCTATAACTTTCCAAGACACCATAAAACCTGTACATGGGGGGTACTGTTCTACTCGGGAGACTTCGCTGAACACAAATATTAGTGTTTCAAAACAGTAAAATGTATTACAACGATGATATCGCCAGTAAAAGTGACGTTTTTTGCATTTTTCATGCAGAAACAGCACTTACACGGATGATATTATTGCTGTGATACTTTTTACTGTTTTGAAACACAAATATTTGTGTTCAGCGAAGTCTCCCGAGTATAACAGTACCCCTCATGTACAGGTTTTATGGTGTTTTCAAAAGTTACAGCGTCAAATATAAGGCTTATGTTTCACTTTTTTCACATTAAAATTCGCCAGATTGGTTACGTTGCCTTTGAGACCCTATGGTAGCCCAAGAATTAAAATTACCCCTATGATGGCATACCATTTGCAATAGTAGACAACCCAAGGTATTACAAACAGGGTATGTCCAGTCTTTTATAGTAGCCACTTAGTCACAAACACTGGCCAAAATTGGCGTTTTTTGTATTTTTCACACACAAACAAATACTAACGCTAACTTTGGCTAGTGTTTGTGACCAAATGGCTACTAAAAAAGACTGGACGTACCCTATTTGCAATACCTTGGGTTGTCTACTATTGCAAATGGTATGCCATTTTGGGTGTAAATGTCATTCCTGGGCTACTATACAGTCTCAAAGGCAACGTAACCAATCTGTCGAATTTTAAATGTAACGTGTTATGTTTGACCCTGTAACTTCCCAAAACGCCATAAAACCTGTACATAGGGGGTACTGTCTTACACGTGAGACTTTGCTTTTACTGCAATAAAATACACATATTTGTATTCTGCAAACAGTATTATGACATTGACAGTTAAAATGTCATGTTGAACTAAAAAAATTAAAAAAAATCTTTTCTCCCATTTTGTTCATATTAAACTGTGTTTCATAGCTAAATATTTGATATTAACTGAAAGCCCTGTTTCCCCCTGAATAAAATTATATATAATAAGGGTGGGTGCATTTAATATGAAAGGGGTGAATTACGGTTGGACAGACATGTAGCGCAAATGCCAGGTTTTGTTTACATTTTGTTTTGTTCACAACGTGTACATTTGGCTCCGTCCTTAAGGGGTCAAGGAAATTAAATAAAAATAAAAACAAAATTGTAAACGACGTTACAGATTAACTTCTAAGGGACTTCAGTAAAAAGTTTTAGTGAACAATGTATGTATATTGTAATAATAATAATAATATAATATGTAATAATGTGGAATTGTAATTTCAACCATAAAGAGCTTAATTCCAAAAATACAACTGCCCTAGAGTTTTATACAAATCACCCGTTTTGGAAACATTTCACTAGGCTGAATATGACTGTGTGCAAAAAGAAATCTAGTTCAGAAACATGTTTGCAAACCATTTATATCTAGATAGGCTTTTAGTTGCTACAGGTCTGGAATGGTGCCAATTGCATATTATATTTCAGAAAATTGTTACGTTGCAAAGGTAAAAAAAAAAAAAGATTGTGTGAAAAGAGCCAATTTGCCCATTTCAGATAGGTTAAGTCCATAAGCCTTTTGTTATGTTTTATATACTTTAATAAAACTTTGATAATACCAGTTATAAAATAGAAATTATTTATAGAACTAGTAGTCTGTGTTATTAATACACAAGAGATAAATAGTAAAGAACAGATTATGCATAAACACTTCTTGAGTGCTTAACTCCCTAATCATACAAGGATTGATGTGAACAGCAAGTAACCAAGGAAACAATTTTCAAACTACTGTTTTTTTGGGGGGTTGATAATGATTTTTGCACACCGTGATAATAAAAAGCACTTTGCTTTCACAATGTTTTCCTCTTTTCAGCTGGATTAAATGCTTCATTTTCCAGGTAAAATACATAGTACTATCAATTATTAAATCAAACTTCAAAGAGAAGGCAGCTTCTCCTTGAGCTTCCTCTTCAGCTTTTTCCTTTATATA